GTCTCCTCACAGACTTTTCATCACTCTATACTTATGTTAGGAGGCAACCGGTGTTCAGCTCTTTGCTGATGTCCTGTGGATGACTGTGCCAGTAGTGTGAATTCTAGAGCAAAGTAGTTTAAGGGAGATGTGCTGGGAGAAGTAAAAGAATATTATGTTTCAAATAAAAAAAAAAAAAATTAAAAAAAAAAATCTAAGATTCATGTTTAAGGTACTAATTGGGTTTTCAAGGAGATTTAAAGAATACAAACAGTTTGATGGATGTTAAATAATGCTGCTTTTGAATTAAACCGACCTGGAAGAAACGTTAGAGCTTCATTGTAACTGCACTCAAATAATTAGCAGAAATTACTTCATTTTTCTATCTTCAAGATTCTCAGTTTAAGAATTATTTTCAGTTTAGCATCTCTGACAATATTCAGAACAATCCAGTGTTAATAGCCAGGGCTAGGGACAAGTAAAAATGTATGTTTACAGCAAGAGTTGTTTGCCCATTGATGACAGAGCCTGCCAACTCTCCAGTGTAAGAACAAACCCTGTAACCCAGGTACTATGGCTAATTAGGAACTTCTTTGAGGAATTGAAAGTAAAATTCAACAGTAAATTTTTAAAATTCCTACATCTTCGGGGGGGAAGGGGGGGGGGGAAGAAAATTTGTTTTTTCTACTTTTTGTTCTCTTTTCCTTCACAGAAAAGGACACCATGGATGTGTGGTGCAATGGTCAAAAAATTGAAACAGCGGTACGTGATCATTTCCAAAGGTTTTTCACAGGCTATGGCTACATCAGCAAAGCTTTAGCAAATGAGCCAGAGGGGCACATTACCTCACTTTACTACAGAGTACGAGCATATGCCTAGACAGCCAGTACACAACTGGCCTGTTCCAAATGTCCTTTGCTGCATTTTATAACTGACAGTATTTCATATCCTGACTTAACAGTTAGGATGCCAACCATCTGTGTATTTAAGGATAAACAATGCTTCCGTTTACTTTTTAGACAAGCAAAATAAGTCTTCTGGGTCAGTTGTCCAGGGTTTTTAGGGAGAAAACTTTCAGGGGAGTGGGAGGGACTTGAGTTTGATGCAGAGTATAGAGCCACCTCATCCAAACCTGTTCGTGTTAGTGGTGACTGAAAGTTGAACACATCTACGCTGTTATGACTCACGATTTTTTTCCATCTAGAGACGGTCCCTGGTACTTATGAGCTTAAGAGTCTTGTTGGAATAAATAAAATCTTTTGTCTTTCTGTCACATCTGCATTAATTTTTAGAGCAGACTGACAGCTAGAAGGCTTAATCTATTTGGTGCTGCCTTATATTAAGGTGGCTCTCAACACTCATTATATGTAGGCTTCCCCATCCTTGAAGGATGTGCTTTCTCACCAGAAGTTGTCACTGATTACTCCTGCCACAAGTAATCCCCTGGATGAGTACAAAGTGTAAAAACAACAGTTTTACTATACTTGAGAAGAGGATGAAAAGATTGACCAAATGTTTCTTTGGTAATCAGTGGGAGAAACATCCTCCCTCAGTGAACCAGAACTTCTGCTCTTGATGGTTCTCAGTCTTTTCTATAATGTAATAAATGCACTAGGAGATATTCTTGCAAGCTATGAGTATGGGATTAGTTGTCAAACTGTGCTTGCATTAAGAGTGGCACACAGATTTTTCTCCGGTCCCAAAGATGATGATAAAAACAGCCATGTGTGGCAAAACCCATAACAGGAAATTATGTAACTGCAGCAGGAGCTGTGCATCCAAAATAGACAACCATTACGTTCAATTCAGGGCTCTCTTCATCCTGCTGTAGAAGGCACTGCTGAATACTTCACGTTTTATTGCCACTTCAGCATAGGTTTGTGTGGTACTTACTGGCTGTACCGCACAATGCGGAAGGAAACTGTCTTTTCTATTTTTGTTTTACTGATGTGGATCAACAATATTCATTCACAAACCCCAACTTTACCATTTCTGATTAGGTGAAATTTTGATTGCCATCTAATACCCACAAATCTTTAACTGGACGCCCTGACAAAGCCGTACCTGAGGTTCTGCAGCTTTGCTCAGCGTTTGCGCTGTATTTGTCACAGGTACCTACAGCTGCTCTAATTGTGGGAACTACAAGTGATCTTGACTTTAGAAACAGTCTGATGCACTCAAGATTTTATTTTACTAAAATAGCACACGGCTGGTTTTATTCTTGTCTCCTTTCTCCCAGGGTGAATTTGTAGAAGATGGGACTGAAACTCACTTCAGTGTTGGTGATCACAGCTGTTGCATTAAGGCCGTCAGTAGTGGAAAACGAAAGGAGGGAATTATTCATACCCTTATTGTGGATGACAGAGAAATCCCAGAGGCTGTGGAATAGCCTCTAGTTAACTGATTATTGTAGGACTAAGATCAGGAATTTTCAATTACTGTGGTAATTATTTTAATATGTACTACTTGGTACATCTAGTTTGTGCTGGGTTTATTTTCTAGTTTCTGTATATGGAATTATACTTTTGAGGACCAGATGAAAATAATTATATACAACCTCTTACCTTACCAGTTTTTAAAAAACTATACATACATATAGAATATATATTATATCACTAAGTGCAGAGAGCACAAGTGAACTTAAGTCAAAATTATATACTAGGAAAAAAATCTCACTATAATAAAATACAAGATAAATATTCAGTAAGACTGAATCCTTATAAACTGTGGGTCTAAGTATGTGGAGGGAGGAGGAAGCATGTGCTGGGCATTCAAGTAAGCTGTTAAAATTTTCTCAGTAATTATTTTTTCTATTAAACTGACAACTAATGTTTTTCAGATTCCGTTAAGAAGAGTTACAAAGTTAATAAAAGTTATTAATGAAATACATTGTTACCAGTAATTGTGTAACAGTATTAATTTAATGCTGTTACATTGAAACTGTTCTTTATTCAGAGTAGGAGAAAAGATGTTATCTTGTGCCAAACAAAAATTCTTTGAGTTTTTCTGAAAACTGATGCTTGTTAGAAATTGTTGCAGTAGTTCAGAAACTCTGTGCTGAGTTTTTTCAAAGAAGAAAACAGAAAATAAAATAAACCCTGCCATGAAACTCCTTTAAAAATGAAACCTCTTGAAGCAAGCTGAAATAGGAGCTTATTCTTGTTCAGTGCTGCCTAACAAACCTTAAGCCTACAGCCGTGTGTCTTCCTGGCAGTAGTGCGTGAATCAAGAAAAATGGGATAGAGATAGAGAAGAATTGGTTGTTTAAATGGAAAAGTTAAAATAGAAACAGACTAATTGTGTTTTCAAACTTCCAGCATACTGTCTAAAAGCAACCTTGAGATTTCTGTGAGAACAAGGCTCTTATGTGTTAGACAGTTCTTACAAGTTCATGGAGGGGTTTTCCCAGTTAATGTTACACTAGCGCATGGACTCACAGCTACAAAAGCTACTGCTTTGCAACAATGTAGACATAGCTAATCTTAAAAATAATAATTAAAAAAAACCCAAAACAAAAAAAAAAAAACAAAATAGGATTATATTAATTTAAAAGTCTGTTTTACAATGGTTCAAAAAATTTTCCACTTGCAACCTCACTTAGAGTTCAGAATTGGACTTTTATAACTTAATTTCTTTTGGACTTGTGAGTGGTTCCTAGCACTATGACTACTACCTTGGAAGTTGCAAATGTGCTGGGAATTCATTAACAAATTATTTTGAAAAGTTTTATTAAACACTCATTTCATCTATGCTGTTGGGTTCAGACTGCTCTCCATTAGAACAGTGCTTTACATGTGGATGAAATGCTTCCCATATGACAATGTCATTGTTCTTTAATAGCTTTATGTGAGCCTCTCTTCTCCCTAGATTATTACACTTCTCACCACAGATGATTTTTCAATCCAGAAGCAGACATGATATTGACAGATAAGCCTTTATTTCTCTATTACGGCACTGTTATAAGCCATTTGGGTGTTTAGTCAGGGCCATAACTGGTGGTTTTAAATGCTTCAGATTGGACAAATCTGGTAGTGGCTTTTAGTTTGGGGCAATCGATTTCCTTTAAACCCTGCTAAAGTCAAACGTAGTTTCAGGCTTTAGTACAGAAGGTTTCAAAGTACCTGAGCGCTGGACTGAATACCCTTTTACATTGAAATGAGTATAACAGCTCTTAGGCTTTTCCATTTACTGGCTTCAGGTCACTACAGAAGCAATGTGAGAACATCTACAGCTTGACACTGTAATCTTTAAAAGATATTGGCAAAGGTAGATTAATTGAAGAGCAGGTTCAAGCTGTAGCTTGAACCAGTTCTCTGCTATTTTGTAACTACTGAGAAATGTGAAGCTCAAATACAGTCCAAGTCACGTTCTTAAGACTATATGGAAAAACAACAGGTTAGCTGACAGTGTAGTTCATACTTTTTATTTTGAATACATGTATCTACAATGCTTGGAATCGCTTAACTAATAAATACTGTAACAGCAACTACTGTTAGAAATCATGAAGAATTGCCTCACATTTGTCATAACTATGTGTATTTAATAGCATGCCCCTAAGTGGGAAACAGCTTTCACCTGATACATTCACCTATTTAAGTCAAAAGAAAATTTAAGAATCAAAGGTGCAACCAAGATTTCTTGGGTTTCACTACTATATGCAATATCTCAGATTAAGAAAATATAATGGAAGAATGACAACCTACGCAAACATCGAGTGTATAGTCACATGCTCAGAACACTTTAAGGCATAAAGTAAATGACTAGATAAATGTTAGACTGTATTTTGTGATGCTTTCCCTTCCGTTTCCATTCACAGATAATTTTGTTCTAATCTCCTTAAGGTGTTGACTTACTTTTTGTGTTCACAGATATTTCAGAGCACTTTGCACGAGGCACTTTGATCACAGCATGTTACTAGGTAGAGCATCCTCTTAAAATCTAAGGACTAGACTTTGTTCTGAGGGGACCTTCACAATAGCTACAGTTCTCATTAATTCTTACTCAGGATGCTGCTGGTTTCCTCAGAGGGCCATATACCTCTCCCTCACTCGGGAACAAGTCAGCAAATATTGTGGAAGAGCCCCAACACTGTTGCAAATGACAAAGGTGTCAGGATTGTTTACATCATCTACTAAGCTGTCATATACCTTAATGGCATCCCCCTCCACTGTCGGTGGCATAATATAAGATGGCTTGCCTTTAGTGTATAAGCCTGTTAATACATCAGCCTCAAACACGTACATTTTAGAGTCTGTTTCCCACATATCTTTACTCTTGATTAGGCTTTTTGGGTTCCTTTTAAAGTAGATGCCAGCTCCATATTTTTGTTCTGCAAAAAGAAAGAAAAATTTTCAGAAGGGAAAAAGAAAAAAGCATTTAACAGTCAGTTCATGTGGGGTGAACTAAGAGACTGCTTCTTAATTCGGTATGACATTTTATGTTACTGCTCAATGCTTGCCACCCTTTTTGAAGTAAATTTGCATGAAGTGGCTCTGGTGCTAGCACTGACCTCCCACTGAAATCATTAGCAGTGACAGCTGATGGCTGTTCTGATTTAACTGCTACTCCAGTGATGACCGTTTGGATTTAACCATTAATCCAACCATAGAAACACCAAGGTATAATGGATTTATGTAAACACTTCTGTCATCGTGTGCTGGGGACTCCGATAAGCACCAAAGAAGGTAAGTTTTAAATAATGCAAACTACAAAAAATGCTTTGGGATTCTTAAGGAGAATGCTGCATAAAAATGCTATTACAGTATTGTGTGGAAGAGTGTGAAGAAATTAAATTAGACCATAATCCTATTTATTACTTTGAAAGTATGAAAATATGCAATGTACATTGCACAGACAAGGAAAGGCAAACCTCCACTTTTTGAACTTTTTTATTGTCTGAAATCCCAATCCTGCATTTGACAAGCAGAATAGCATGTCCTTCACCTACTGCAGGTTGAGGTGCTAAATGCGTATTGGTTCCATTTCTGAAAACATCTGTCTACTACACTGTCTATACAACATTCTTCCCACGGGTGCTCTAGTCTGAACGGCAGTCTGCCCAGTCAGATGACCTCCCGTCTCTGATCGCACCCGATTTGAGCAGGGGTTAGGCTAGATGACCTTCAGAAGTATCTTCCAGCCTCAATTATTCTGCAATTCCCTTGAACATGTTTTAAAGCACCAAGCCGCTGAATGCAGGTTCGCAGCAAGTAAATATGGATGTGGACTTTCTTTAGAGAGTGATGCAACAAAATAAAACTTGGACCTGGCATTATGTGTATATTAACAATTCTGTCAACAGTGTCTGGGCTAGGCTAGAATCCAGGCTTACCCTCCCACAGCCTTACTGACTCTATCAGGAAGGAAAGCCAGGAAAATCTTAGTTAGTAGATAAAAAAAGTAAGCTATGAGCTCTAAAACTATGACTCTAGAAGTGGGTAAGAAACGGTTCTTGTTTAGGAATGCCAATTTTTCTGATTTTAATCCAACTTTAGTGTCAGTCACTGTTCATTTTGATTGAAGATGCCAAAGCAAGTTATTACCTGTTGGTGGAGAGTACATCCTGTGAAATCCGGTTTGGCACACCGAGCTACAGAACTGAGCAGGAACATGCTGGTACAACTTGTGGGTTATTTTGGAGGTACCTTGGTTTTCTTCTATTTTTTTTTTCATTTGTTGGAATGCAGCAGATAAAAGAGGATTATGTATCTTTTCAATCTGTAGCATAAATAATAATGTAGTATAAGCTAATGGAGACCAGTATCCATGAAATCCATGAGTGCCTTTGTACAGGCTATGTTCTTCAGTGTAAGAACCTTTGATTTAGCTTATAGGCATTGACCACGGAGCAGATAAGGCATGGGAAATGCACAACTGATCCACAAAAAAAGAACCCTGCCACTGTCCCATGCTTCTCATTGAAATCAGCAGCAATATATCCTCATGTACTGATTTCCATTACTTGAGTTGTGCTGAACAGACTTGAGTATCAACCATACATGAGAATGAGCTGTGGGGGTGCTTACAGCCTGATCTTGTAAAGAACCGCAAGTGTCCTGTAAGGCGTGGAGAATCTCAGCTCGCAAAACTTTACAGCTCTTGGGGGGAAAAAAAGATCCGTAGGTAAGAGGGCCTTTATGTTAACTTGTGTCTTGAAAGTGTGGCTGCATGCAGCCTAATACCACACCGAACTTCAGGCAAATGGGCTACGCTGCAGCTCTCGCTGGTATACCTGACTCCACCAGTGGGCCAGTCACAGTCCCATGGCAAAGTCAGGACCTGCAAGGCCTCTTCTCCAGCAACCCAGTCGTGCCAGACTCCTGACTGCTCAGCTAAAAACAAGCAGGTGTTGAAGCATGATCAAGCTTCTACTCTCTTAAGAGTCATTTAACTGAGCTATGACTGATCCCCAGTGCAGCATTGTTCTAAATTCTGATGTAGCTTTTGCGTTGAGACCCAACAAAGTCTAGTTCTGCAGATCATAAAGCACTTGCTTTCATCTGGTTGGTATTTGCTATTATTTCAATGTTAAATACCTTTCTCGTATGAAAGGCAGTTAAGCAGGTGGCAGTCTGGTTTCCAGGTACCCACTGTTACTACGAGGCACACAAATCCCTGTTCACAAACTTCTGTATTTCTCTGTGCTGCACAGCCTCATCCTCCTCCCATTCAGTAAAGCACTGATAACCAACCAAGATCCCAGCTTCAGCTCACTGCTGATCAGATCACAACGCTGACAAATTCAGCTGCTAATTTTTGGTGTCAAACTCACAAGAAGAAAATGGACACATTGCCTTAGTGCCCTGGAACATTGTATTCATTCCAACATACCAATCTAGTATTTCTCGAGAGTCCAATAAAGGAACATTTGAAGCATGAAATAAGTGAATATACAGTACAGTTAAAAGGACTTGTCAGAATTTAACCACAGTTTTTGAGTGATTATGTGCATTATGTTTAAAATACTTTCTAGTAGGAGTAAAGACTACATATATTTTAAGGATTAGGCTGATTTCATCTTAATTTTTAAAAGCAATATGTTGAAATAGTTCATCTGAGTTTTTTAAGCATATGTTAAACCTGTTTGTTCAAATATATTGGCTGAGATTTAGTTTTTCCATGAATACCCTCTTTACCTTGAAAACATGAAGCCCAGCTTTTTCAAACTGTTTCTGTCTGTCTTTAAACTCCTGAAGGTGTGATTCCACCAGTGAAATCTGGACGCATTTAGTAGTATTTGTCTTGTAAAGGTGTGCTTCTGAAAGCTCACCTGCTTCTGGTTGGCCTGGATACAAATAAGGGAGTAAAATTTTAATGTATCATAATACCTGAAGCAAAAGCAAGGAGAAGGGATCCAATACTTTAGTTTGGTAGTTTAGTTAAGAACAAAGAATGTAAAATATCCTCCCAAGTAATGCCAGAGGCTAATATTGAGAGGGACTGAGATAGATAGATAGATAGATAGATAGATAGATAGATAGATAGATAGATAGATTCATTTATTCATTTTTTCTACACTTATTAAAGAAACCAGAGAGGGAACTAAATAAAAGCAATTTACATTCTCTATTACATCTCTCCCCAGCCCAACTTTCATATAGTGGCATCTATATTGAATGACTACACAAACACAAGGGAAAATGAATCACTTGGTAGCTTTTTGTAATGCCACTAGTTCTATCAGCTGTTAATGAAAGTCAAGGACTCTGCAGAACAAGTCCATTGGTGGATCCTGCAACAGTGGTCCAGCTGTAGCTAGCAAAAGAGCTCAGCAAAGGTATGTGTTAAGTACGAATTTTGTAAGTCTCCAGTGGCCAGGCTTTAAAAGTGAGGCTGTCCTGGAGGAAGCCAGCATTACAGCTGGCTGTACAACGACAGCCAGCCCCTGTATAAACTGTGCCCTACTGGGAATATTGCCAAGTGAGTAACCAAAGCTAACAAATGGTCTTTCAGGGGCTCATATGATAGAAGTAGAGTAATATTGGTAAAGCGATGCTCAGTGTGTGTGTGAACTGAATGCGCATCTGCCTACTCTCAGCAACACACAGATGTATGTTGCTTCATACTTGACCTTATTTAGGCATTTGTTTACTTAATTAGTCACTTATTTACTTTACATACCCATGAAGTACAGCAGTTCCTCTTGTTTGGCTGTAGTCTCCTCTTGCATACGAAGCAGTAATTTTTCAGTTGCGAGCACTGCATCAATCACAGCATCAGGCGGGCCCTGAAATTCCAGTCTTGCTTTTCCATCTCTCACTTCTTCTGATACACATACGCTAGAATGCTGCTCTCGAGAGAGTTCTGCAAACTCGTTTTTACCAAGGCTAAAAATGTAGTTGTTTTCAATAATAGCATGGTGACTTTCCTGAATTTGTACCACACTTTGGATCCATGATTCTGCTGCTTCCAATGCTGTACGTGTGTTTCCTTTAAGTTCAATAGCCAGTTCATTATTTACAGTCTCTTTTACACTTTGACTGCCTGACTCCGTACCTGGAAGAAAGATTTTTTGTTTTTATACAAGTGCATTTGAAGAGCAAAGAGCTTTTAAGTGCTGTCACAAATTCCTATATGTAATCCAAGATGTACAGAGCAAGAAACACACTACTCTCTTGGTATGCTCAAGAAAAAGAGATTAGACACCAGGAGGTAAAGCTTCCAGGAAAAAAAACACCACACATGCAGAATTTATTTGCCTTCCAACAAGTTACACACTAACAATGATTTTTATTTTTGAAAATCTTTTAAGGGACTGCCTAGTTCCATTCCTATGAATGTAAAATGCAAAGCACTCACATGTTTTTGCCTCCCCCACTCCCCAAGACACATATGCAAATACTAAGTTCTTTTTAAAAGGAATCTGATTTCAGATTCTCAAATCTGGAGTGCCTGTTTACATGAAATGCCCCTTCTGTTCATTACTTACTCAAATGATCACTTCTGTTGTAATATAGCTTTTTTCCCAGTTTGTGTGCTGTTGAATAAAATTTTCTCTGGAAAACCTTGAAAGAGAAAAGTTTAGGAGCGATTTGCAATCTCTCTTGTCAAATATGCCATTCATCTCTTCAAAACTCTGTTAGATAAGCAGTTTACTGCTGTAGTTACATGCCTCCACCCCCAAATTCTGAAATTATGTTAACAGCTGACATTTGTCAGCTTCTCCCAAAATGTTATTCCTGACAATATCAAATCCATTCTTGCTTTTCTATGTCTCCTAAGGTAGGACAACTTACACACTGAATGGCACTGTTATCAGCTCCTTGTGGTTGTGGCATATCCGGAACTCATGGAACCACAGTAGGTAAAGGTGTTCATTATTTGCAGTTTAATGCTGATGAATCCTTACTCAGTTTTAAAAACCAGACCATCCCCCTGCCTTTACCTCAAATCTCCTCTTCATGATCACACATGGAAAGCCTCTGAGAAGCACTGCTCTGCTAGGCAGTGGGTTTGGCATCTGGCAAATTGCCTTTCCTTCTTTTTTCAGCAAAAAGGGTTTCTGCTGTGCCCTGAATATCAAGGGATTAAGTGATGAGCACATAGCTGTCATACAGCTTCCCTTAGAGCTTATGGGACTGTTACAGAACATGGATCTGACCTTAGAATCATGGAATCATAGAATGGTTTGGGTTGGAAGGAACCTTAAAGATCATCTAGTTCCAACTCCCCTCTACCTAGTTCTTGCACCTGCTGAAAGAATGGAGGGTTGAAGTTAAATGGGAATAAAAGCAAACTCTGTACTTTTATAATAGATGGCTATCTAAAACAGTTTGGTATTAATCACATCAGCCAAATACTCAAAAGGTAGAAAATGGCACATTGCAGTTGAAATTATCCACTGTCTGTTTGCAACCCTTCTATCATGTTGGGTCACATAATGTGATGACAGTGGTTTGCCCTAGGAAGTTCATAGAAAAAAAAAATGGTTAAAGAAATTTCCTGAGGAGGAGTAAGTTTATTCCCTAACAAGTTAAGAGTAGAGTCTTTCTTACAAATCTGCTGACAGTCATGAGAATTTCAGAGCTCCCTCCCCTTGTTAGCAGACCACAGGGTGAAAACTTCTGGTTTAGTGAAGAGAAAATGAAGATTTGTGAAGATTAATAATACCTGTTAATGAGACAAATAGTTTCATAAAGGGACCCGCTGCTCACTGTTATAAGTAGTAGAGATTCAGATCTTAATTTGCAGTCATCTATGGGAATATTTTTACAGATTTGGGTTTTCTTTATTGGTAGTTAACAACAAATTTGTTACCTGATAGGCATCGTAGTCATCTGGGCAAAAGACAAACTGCACATCTATCTTCTTCTCAGGGTGTGCACTGGCAAAATTTAAAACCTCTTCAGTCATGATCTCTGCCACTACATCAACGGGCAGCATTAATGACCAAATCCCATTTGCTGGAAAAGAAACCGAGGGAGATTGCCAGTCCCAAAAGCAATGCAGGCATCTTGTCACTGCAGCTTTTAATTCCTGCAGGAAAAACAAGTGTTTCAGTCCTCACATCACCCAGCATGAAAGTCAATTAAAATCCAATCTAACTGATCATCACCTCACACAGTAACACCCTGTGGTGGTATTGCGGCCATACAATGTGCAGTACAAGCTCACAGGGCAGATTATACCCTTTTGTTACTATCAGTTCCTTATAAGACGAAGAATGTCTAAGATGAGACTGAAATTCATCCTGAAGAGCTGAACCTGCTTTTTGCAGCAGTCCTCTTGAAACTGGAGGGTAAGGCTCGCCATTCATAGACACACAATTAACAATAGCTGTAGTCTGGAAGAAAAGAGTGCAAAGTTTCAGTATACTTCAAGTTTACTAATTGCAAGCTTTGCTACTATGGAGAGCACTCTTTCTAGGAACAAACTGCTTTAAAAAAGCCTGACTGCAACAGATCAGCTGTTTGAAAGGTTCTCTTACTAATACTAAGGGCAGCAAGGGAATACATCAAAGTATGCATCTTCTAGTGGCAGTAAACGCATACATTTTTTCCAGAAGCCAACAGCGTGCATAAGACTTGTTCAAGTCATCAAAGCGTATTCAAGACAATTGTCACCGCATCTATAGAAGTGACCCATATGTGCCTCAGCAGATGCACTTCTGCAGCCAATTATCGATGAGCAGGAGAGAGCTGTGGCTATGTCCGTTACCCCAGCCCACACAGATGCTCCCCATGTTAGGGTAGCAAGCACTCGTCACCAAACCAGCAGGGTCAGTGCACGCAGAGGAACTGCAAAGCTATGGTTGCTTCCAATTCCCAGTGGAAACAGCAGATTCCCATAGCAGGTCTTCTGTATTTCAAATTAAATATGTAAAATGCAAAAAACCTGTTTACAGAATGCTGATAACAGCAGTAATTGTTCTAACTTTAATTGCTGAAGACTATCTAAAGATACAAGACTTTGGAGCATATTTTCCTCATTGTTTTGAAGACATGTGGTATCTTTCAGTGCTGTAGAATTGATTAATAAAATTCCCCACAATGTCAACTTTGCGATCCTTTGCTCTCACGTCACAAAAATGAACTTCCTATTCAATTAAGATACTTCTTTAAAATATAAGTTATTATTTTTTTCAAGATACAGTATTTGCTAAAAGCAAATGCCATTCCTGTTGACGTAGCTTCCAGTCTAAGAGCTCTGTTAGATTACCATGACTAAGCTCATATATTTTGCATCAGATTTTCTAGCTAAAAAAGTTAAATGAATCAATTTAAATTATGCACTGTTCAAAGGTAAGGGGCACATCATCTGTACAAGTTATTTTCAGCTGTTTCAGTGTTTGCTGAGTAACTCCAGTAGTGGCAGCCATGAGAACATAAATTACAGGAAAAAAAGCAAGGCAAAAAATAAGAGTAGGCTTCTAGGGAATGCGTGATAAAATGTGAACTCCCACAGTGTTATAATAAGAAGATAAACATTAACATAGGGATATGTTATTATTAATCATCCAATCTTTAGCTGCTTCCTATTATACCATAAGAGCATGTATACAAACAAGAAATAAAAACATTCTCATGTTTAATACCCATTTAGAAAAAAAAAACAACTCATTGCCTCTATAGTTTATTTACCATTTGTAAATTCTCATTAGGCTGAGAAGATAACTATTTAGTGGACTGATACAGTATGTGTTCTGAACTCCTGGGCTCCAAATCCTGCAAAGACTTGGAGGCAACTCCATGTTCAACATGTTATGGGACAGACTTACCTTCTGGTCTTCAAGGAGTCCTCTTACGATGCACAAGTGAATGCCTCCGTGTTTGATGAAAGCTGAAGGCTGGCTTGGTGAAGCTGAAAGAGTTTCCTGAGGCGAACTGCTATCACCTAGAAACTTTTCACAGGCTGCCTTCATTTCTGCAACTGTTGGCTCATAAATGTTCACGAGGCGGATTTCCCTGAGACAGCTTGGTGGACTTGCCTCAACAAATTCCTTTATAGCCATTACAATCACTTGAGCACACAAACTGAGCGGGAAGCCAAAAATACCTGAACTCACTGCTGGGATAGCCACAGACATTATAGTATTTTCTGGAGCACTAACATACTTCAGAACATTCACAATAGCTTCCTGAAGTAGGTCACAACATCTTTCCTTTTCATAACTGGTCCACCTTGGACCAACTGCATGAATAATTTTCTTACAAGGAAGCTTCCCTCCACCTGTCACTGCTATTTTGCCAACTGCAAGTTTTCCATACTTTTGAATATGAAGATTGCATTGCTCTTTGATTTCTGGCCCTCCAGCATTCACAAGGGCTAAAGCAAGGCCTCCTCCATGATCTAGATATTCATTGGCTGCATTCACCAAAGCATCAGCCTTGTGTCTTGTGAGATCATCCTTACAAACACAAATGTCAATTCCCTGCTTTAGTTTTTTCCTGTATACTTCAACAGTGCATTTTGTACTTTTGAAGGTCAATGTACAAGCAAACATTTTGTAAATGAGATTGCTTAGACAGTCCTCTCTTTTCTTAAGAACTTCATAGGTAGCTTTACTGATGGGGATCATCAAGCTGTCCTCATCCATTACCATGCTTGGCTCTAGGATACAGAATAATATAAAGTGAAATCCAAGATACTACTGTCAAAACATTGGTTTTTATATAGAAGTGTGGTATCTATCTATCTATCTATCTATCTATCTATCTATCTATCTCAATTTTATCCTACTGTCATTACTTACCGATATTTTTTGGCATAGTCTGATCTTCTCTCTCCCCTTTTCATAGGCTTAGAAAGCCCAACCAAGCAAAGAAATCAAGGCCTCCAGTGCTGTTCATTATTCTGTTCAAATTAACCTCCCCATCTAGTAGCTCCTTTGCCCACCTTTCCTCAAGACCTTCTCCTATTTCCTTCCAAAGTCGTATAAATCACAGCAGTGTGTTTCAGGAAAGTGAAAAATTCAAGCGTACTCTGTCAGCTTAACATACTTGGGATTCTGAAAAACAGTCAGTATTATGCTGTCCACTGTTTCCTGTAAGCCTGTGAATACTTTCAGTTTCATCTTATCCATCAACAACCAGCTCCCTTCCCGTAACTGAACACAGGCAGACACAGGAGTGGCCAGCTGCTGATCGGTGTCCTCAGAGAGACCAACACACCCACCGCTGAAGCAGTCTGTCTTCAAGATTATCTGCTTGTGACCTGGCATATGTCAGACCCGGTGAAATATGCCCTGAGCCCCCAAACAGCCTGCTCAGAGTCCTCTCAGCAGAGGGATTACCAGCATATATACAGGCTATATGCCTGTAGGTCCCTTGGGCAAATACCTTTTCCTCTTTCCCTATTCTTCCTCCAAAGGCACTAAAAGATGATGACAACATCAATAACTTGACTTGAGGGTTTCAGTTTGCTTTACTGTTTATATGAAGAGGAAGCTTGGTTAAAATGTGTCTCCTCCTGCTACTTGTTCTCTTTCTCTCTTTCCTACTGTTTATTCTCCCCACGTTTAGTCTGACACAAACATTGTCAGGGACATATTCATAAATGAATCAAATCTAAATTTAAAAAAAAAAAACCACCATAAAACGTAATTTGATTTAGAGCACCAACCTTAAAGACTGATGCAGCAGCACAACGGAATGGGCTGAGAATAAATGGTGAGAAGGAGGAAAAAGGAGCAGACAAGTGTGAGAGGAATGTCTTTGAAACAGATGCTGTTACAGGGCTTTGTTAACTGGCTGCAGTGCCACCATGATGCTGTGCTGCGTTTGTCACTAAAACTCCATCTGAGAAAGCAAATGTGAAAAGCCACACCATAATCAGGGCTTCAAAATGCTTGTAAAGCAGAAAACACTACTTCTCCCTCTCTGAGCTTGTTTTGCTGAGAGGGCTGAAGCCTGCCTCTGCCCTCTCCAGGCTGTTAACTGATTTTTGTTACTGATTTCCAGCAAGGACCAAGGGTGAGTACTCCAGACCTTTGCACAGTCAGTGACCCACAGCCACACTGGCAGAGGAACACTTGCTGATATGTTCATTTAACCGCGGTACAGAGATCTTATGCTGAGCTTCGTCTTTGATTCTGTCGCTCTTTGGTCTGCACCTAAAGCCCACAAGCAAGTTCTTTCTTTGTATGGAACTTACGAATTCAGAAGGGCTTTTTAAACCACTTTTTTTAGGGAACAAAAATAAAGAGTGGGGCAGTTTTTATATTATCACTATGGCTATACAGCCCTCTCCTGGCAGATGTCAGCAGTGCTATATGCAGTAGTTATGTTAATTAGTGTAAATCAATTTGTATGAGTTTAATCAAACTTTCCTCCGGGGTATGCTACCTGCTTGTAAAAAGAGTCTAACATTTTGCACTTATAAAGTATACACACCAATTAATCAAAACACCTCTGAGCTCTTTCTTTTAAAAGAGAAATGCAAGCAAATCCTCTTGAAGTAATGAATAATAATGTTGATTCATATCCGTGTCTAATTCATACATTTCAGGTTGCTTTTGGCTGTTTGACATTGATGTCTTCCAGTTTTCTGGTTGTAGCTGGCAATTTTAACTTAAATACAGGAACACACTTTGCAGATGGCTAAGTGAGAGGCTTACCTAAACCGCTGTTCTCTTTCCAGGTCTTTGGACAGTAACTCTATTGTAAAAAAAAAAAAAATAACAAAGAGAAAATACATGTCACTGCCTGATGAGCTGCGTTCCTACAGGAGCAATTCTGCTGCAAGCAAAACCGGCAGCACTACCTTTTCAAAAATTTGTATGAAGCTCTCTAATATTTAAAATGCTATTCAGAGCCGAAACCGCGGGGACCGGGCCGCTGCGGGTGAAGTCGCTCCCAGCTTCCTCTAGCTCCAGCTG